CTTGGCCAATTTCTGGACACAAACTCGTTTCGGAGCTGAAGAACCAGATGCAAACCCATCATAAAGAGGTTATATAAATGAGATAACGAGCTGATAGATCAGTAGTTTATAATTTTTGTTGCATCTCCTGTTTTATGCAATATTATCATAATGCCACTATTCCATTTTTCTGGATCATTATGAATCATTATTAAGGTATAAGCTGCTAAAAAGAAAATCTAAATTAAGACGGTAAAAGTCAATTATTCGCCCAGATGTTACATATGGAAGTGAAATATGGACTCTACATCAGCGGAAAAAAAAAGTGGAATCAGTTGAAAATAAATAAGCTGCTAGTATTTGAAAGGAAGGTTCGTAGAATGATATTTGGATCTCAAAGAGATGAATTGACAGGAGAGTGGAGAAGGCGCCGCAATTCTGAATTGGTTACTCTCTAAGGTACTGAAAACATCGTCAGACATATAAAAGCTAACCGGATATGATGGGCAGGTCATGTGGTTAGATCAGAGGAAAGCAGAGTGCTAAAGACAGAGTTTTTGAAAGACCAGACGGTAGAAGGTCAGTATGTCGTCCCAGAAAAAGATGGACGGATGATGGTGAAGCTGATTTATCTAGGACAATACTGTACATACTATCTAGTACAATAATGGGAAATGGAAGTGCAAGATCGTAGAAGATAAAGGGCTATAGTGGATGCGGCGAAGACTCACCCCAAGTTGTAAAGCCAGTCAATAAGAAAGTGTTCAACCAGTGCATCCTTCCTACCATGACATATGGATGTCAAACCTGGACCCTAACCAAGACAAATATGAATAAACTAGCCACCACAGAAAGAGCAATGGAAAGGTATACGACTGTCAGATAAAAAAAAGGAACGACTGGGTAAGGTCAACAACAAAAGTCGAGGACATCACAACAAAAATTGCCAAACTCAAATGGAGCTTCGCAGGTTACACTCCAATGAGTGTTTGCAAAATCAATTTGGAATCAGATAGAATTACAGCCCTCTTAATTGGATTTTTCAAATCACTAAATCAAGCGCTTTATTTATAGCTAAAGCTTCTGCTAAAAATATTGTATATATATTTGAAATGCGGTAGGTACTTCTCCACGTATTGGATGGCCGGTATAACAAATGCAAAACCCACACTTTTTTCACTTTTTGACCCATCTGTATAAATGTAAACATCATTACTAGCGCATTCCCTTAAGACGGATTTTACATGATTTATGCGGTTTATATAACATAGCCTCAAACTGATACTTCTTTTTTTTTTCAAGTTGTTAGGATCACGAGATTAATTGCTGCAATTTTATTTAACAGAAATGCATTATATGTCCTGTATTTTATTACCCATTTGTTTGCTAAATATTGTCTTCGTACAGATAAAGGAGGCTCTTGTGCTTCAGTTCAAATTGCATGATTTGGTGATGACTTCATTGTCCAAACATATTTTGACCGTTATATTCCATCTAATTTACATACGTTAGGCCAGGGCCATGTAATGCATTTTTATGATCTCTTATATAAACTTTTCTGTTTAGGAATAGATTAACAATGTTGGCTGATACCTTCTCGTGAATATCGATATTAGATACTATGCATTCTTAGAGAATATTCAGATTTATGGCATCATAAGCGCTTTTCAGACCACAATCCAGTAAACGTAAAATTCGAAATCCACTTAAAGAAAATCAAAAATCAACAAAAGACACAACAAATAAGGATCCTGCTAAAACACCTGAATATAAAAGGAGTACTAACGTTGAAAGTTAACGAAGAGTTAAGCAAAACAATAATCATTGATAATAAAGATTCCAACGAAAATGGGAAACATTTAAGAACACATTAATAATGCCAATTAAAGATGAGTAGTCACAAAATCGATGTAGCTAAGACTCCATGGATGATAGATGAGATCCGGCAACTAATGGACAAAAGAAGATTAAACAAAAACAAAAATGTAAACGAATACAAAGTCACACACAAGGATATCAGGATAAAAATACGGGCAGCTAAAAAGAAGTGGTACAACAACAAATGTTTAGAAATAGAAGAACTCCAGAGAAATCATGATAGTTTTGAATTGCACAAAAAATTAAAGAATTAGCAGGTATAAGACGGTGTAACAATAGTAACACCCTGGTTGATACAAATGGTAAAATAATATCTGATATCAAAGGCAGACTAAACAGACGGAGAGAATACGTCCAAGAATTGTTTGAGGATGACAGGACACAACAAAATAGCATGAACGATTACGAGGAACATGATATAGGTCCAAATATAACTAAGGTTGAAATAATACATGCAATAAATCTGGCAAAATCTAATAAAACTGCGGGGCCTGACACAATTCCAACTGAAATAAGTAAATTAATATCAGAAGATCAGATCAATGTATTAGTAGACTTATATAATACTATATATAATACGGGTATTATTCTGAGAGATTGGCTCAAATCAACATTTATTACATTACCAAAAAACCTAATGTAAGGAAATGTAATGACCACTGTATAATTAGTCTAACGAGTCACACACTAAAAATATTCTTAAAAATTATCCATTTAAGAATTTTCAGAAAAGTGGAATAAGACATAACTGAAACCCAATTTGGATTTGGGAATGCCATGGCTACACGAGAGGCATTATTTGGATTTAACGTCCTCATGCAAAGATGTATGGATGTAAACTAACCACTCTATATTTGTTTTATTGATTACAATAAGGCGTTCGATAAGGTCCGGCACAACCGTCTTATACAGTTACTTAAAAATAAACACATTGACAAAAAAGACTTAAGAATAATAAATCATCTCTACTTTAACCAAACAGCAAAAGTCAGAGTAGGCAAAGAACTTTCGGAGGAAGTAGAGATAAAAGGAGGCGTAAGGCAAGGTTGCTTACTCTTCCCCTCATTGTTCAATCTATATTCGAAAGAAATAATTAAAAAATCACTCGAAAATGTAACAATTGGAAAAGTCAACGGCAGACCCATCAACAATATCAGATATGCTGATAATACTATATTAATTGCAGAGAATATACAAGATCTACAGACACTCTTAGATAATGTTAGTTAGTGAGGAAAGCGGACTAACACTTAATGCTAATGAAACAAAATTTATGACAATTTCCAAAACACAACAACAAGACATTTTAAACATAAGAGGGGTTCCAATAGAAAAAGTAAAAAACTACAGATATTTTGGTACAATTATTATTGAAAATAACGAGTATACAGAAGAAATAAAAATGAGAATTGGATAAGCTAGAGCAACATTTAATAAGATGAGAAAAGTATTATGCAGTAGAGACCTTAGTTTGCAACTCAAAATAGGAATTTTACGTTCATATGTGTTTTCGGTGATGCTGTATGGGTTGGAGGCCTGGACCTTAAAGAAAGAGGTGAGCGATCGCCTTGAAGCATTCGAGATGTGGACCTACCGAAGAATATTAAAAATAAGTTGGGTAGACCAAATAACAAATCTTGCGGTCCTCAGAAAGATGACAAAGGAAATGGAAATCATGAATTCGATTAAGATAAGAAAGTTACAATATCTCGGCCACGTTATGAGAGGGGAATATGTTTTTCTACAAACCATAATGCAGGGAAAAATACAGATTACACGAAGTATTGGAAGAAGACGCATCTCCTGGCTCAACAATCTGAGAAATTGGTATAGTTGCAGTTCCATCGACTTGTTCAGAGCTGCAATCTCAAAAGTGAAAATAGCTGTGATGATTACCAACCTCCTTAGAGAAGACGGTACCTAAAGAAGAAGAAGAAGCGCCTTTTAAATCAATAAAGAGACATAAGTACTTATTTTTTTATAAGCAAGTCTGGATGTCCAGAACCAGCAGAGAAACCGCATCGATTATGCTATGCCCACACGGCGGAATCCGCACTGAGTGTGTGGTAGAAGAGAATGTTTTATAAAATGTTCTAGTCTAAATTTGATTACTCTTTCGAAAGTTTTAGTAATGCGGGATAACAACAAAATAAGTCTAGATGACGGAAGTAAGGGGTTTTTGGGGGGCTTTAATATTAGACAAACAACGATTTCTTTTATATTATCCATGTATTTCTGATTCACCCACCACTCGTTATAGATATTTAGAAATGACACTTCCGTTATTATTGATAGATTATACAGTATTTTATCTGTAAGACCATCCAACCCGGGGGACGAATTCCGAGAATGTCTTAATGCTAATTCCAATTCTGTATGCATTTATGTATGTATGTTTGCATGTATGTATGTTTGTATGTATGTATGTTTGTATGTATGTATGTTTGTATGTATGTATGTATGCAGGGAGTCTATTGAAATTCAAAAACATCCAATTAATTTTGGGCTACGGCTACATATTTATAGCAGAAACTCGAGGAAGATCATCAGTGGTTGAGGGGAAACATACAAGGTCCCGTCTATGTTCGCTTCCTCATCATCTTTGGTCGGGTTTGCCGCATTTACAAGCGAAAAGTCAGGAACAAAAAATTCCGGAACACGGTCTATAAATCCCGATAACATTGTAATTTTACTCATAGATGTATTGAGTATATAGAGAAATGTGGTACTTTAAATGAAGCTTCATGTTTGAGAAGTGCATTAGAAGATAAATAATATTTGTGTCCGATGCTTGAAAACGTATTTAGGATAGAAAAGAGTTATTTTTTATTTATATAAAACTCTTTTCTCGAGGATTTAGGTAAGTCAGTGTAATTATGGTTAACGCTTAATTCTTTAGGATCAAGGTAGTTTATAGAGGTAATGTTTCTTATATAATTTTTGTTATGGTACAGAAACTAAACGACGTTTAGACAAAAAATCATAAATTACAGATGTATTTTATTTTCTCAGAAGCCACATGTTGGAAAACACATTATGAGAAAGATACCTCGTCGCAGAAAAACAATTTAATAATTTGTATCGGTATATTTCACAAAATTTTAAATATACTAATAGATTCCTAATATTACTGATGTTTTAAGGTAAAACTATAATGGGTAAAAGGAAATTGAAAAGATATATAAATTTTGAAGATGTGTTCACAGAGCAGAGACGATCAAAGAGAAAAGCTAAAGTACGAAAAATTAATCCATCGTTTAATATGAAAGTATTAGATTTATATTATTTACAATCGTTATAACTTAGAAACTGGTTTCTTCACATGTTGTATTGAATTGCTATTTATATGAATTTAAAATAAAACGTTAAGAAATTGTTTTAGTTGTATGTATGTAAATTAGCTGCACAGACTGTGGAGGCCCATGGTTTGATGTCCTAATATAATATTTTTCACCTAAGAAGACCGCTTTGTAATTAAATGCTGATAACTTTATTACTAGCGGATCAGATAAATGGCGATATATTTTACACTACCTTTATGAATAACATTTTACTGCTCCGTCGTTTCAATCAGCACTGCTCAACAAGTTATCGTTTATTGGGTTTAATATTTTATTGCAATAGTACGAGTACGGAATATTTAGTTAAACAGTGAATTTATTACATGTTTTTTTTTTAATTTCTTCTGACGTGTCGTATAATGTAGGTTTACCCAATAATCAAAGTTATGCCTCTACAAGAACATATTATTTGAAAAATAATAAGTAAATACCATGTGTTATAATAATTGTAATCTCCTTTATACACACAAAAATTTATTTAGTAATGTATTTCTTAAATCCACACAATCATTGAAAAATGATTCATACTGTTTAAAAATATCTTTCTGTTAACGACACTGTCATCGACAAAGTAGATCAAATGCAAACGTCATCATATTTCTCTTCTGTTTATCGTTAAAAATTAATTGATGGTCGTGGGTTGTATTGGTGTTATTTAATAATTTAACAGAATACATTTGTTACATAGCATTGGCTGTTAAATAATTTGCGTTCGATTGTACGTCATCGTCCTTTTTAGGGTGTAGTAGTTGTATATAAGTACCTATTTTTTTATAGTAGTGTAGTGAAGCGGTATTTTAAAACAAATCCACGAAACGAAAATATGGGTCCATTGACATCTGTCATCGCAGTTCAGAAACGCACATGCGATGCTTGCGGTATCTCAGAGAGGACATTCCAAAGAATTAAACAAATAAATAAAATAAGCAGGAGAAATCGTCGACATCCAAAAACTTTAGATTTACACCAGTCAATTAAACTTGCAATTAAAAATATTATATATAATATGTATAAAGCCAAAGAACATGTAACAGTTAGTGCTGTGTTTCAAAAAATAAAAGACAAGGAACCTTGTGATATTAGTTTAACAAGTTTGTGCAGAGTGCCGAAACATTTAGGTTTTCGATATAAAAAGACAAATAATAGACAAGTATTGTGTGAACTCGCTAATGTTGTTTTAAAACGGTGGCATTTTTTAAGAAAACACATGAACAATTAAACGTCTGATAGTCCGAGTCAAGTTGAATTTTTAGATAAAACTTGGAAACAGAAATTAAAAGATTTCACACATAAATAAACTTGACATTAAAAAGCACTAGTGGCTAAAACAACGTATCACACAGCACAAAAGTGATTGCCGCTTAGGAAAAAATACTTGTGCAGTAGTCAAGCATTATAAAAACACCGGTCATCTGTTAGACTACAACAATGCTCGTATTTTGGCACAGACTGAAAATTACAAAAGTAGGTTATTTTTGGAGATGTACCACATCAATAAAAATAAACAAACTTTAAATTATAAAACAGACACGGGGCAATTAAGCAACATATTGCAATATATTAAACAAAATTTAAAACTCACTTACCTTAATTATTAATCATACTAACTAGCCTTAATGATTAATTAAAGAAATAATATTCCTCTAATGTTTTCTTACATTGTTAGTTTTTACATTTTAAATAACTTTTAGTTGTTTCCATCTTATTTATTGTTAACGAACGTGCTCAAATATATTTATATTTTAACATGCATATACATTATTAAAAATGTTATTTTAATGTCAAGTTTATTTGTGTGAAATCTTTTAATTTCTGTAAGTATTGTAAATCTAAGTGTACGTCAGTTTGTTGAAATGTTTGTTTTTTACAGTTACTCCCATCGAGCAAAAAGACAAAAGAGGGAATCTAATCCTTATGAAAAGGAGACCAAAAATAGTCTGGCTAATTGGCTATGCCAAAGCCATTATACAGTAAAAAAAAAGAGACCAAAAAAGTGGCCTCTGATGGCGGACATATCCGGAAATGCGAATGCGCCAAATTTAAATTTTCCGACACTTATTAGCAGTAGCTAGTAAGGCAAGAAATAATACAATAAGGTTTGCTCTCATGTAAATTTAAAAAGTTTATAAATAAATATAAGTATTTAATATAAGTAATAAGGTTATCAGCTAATCGTCATATTTTAGTGTTTCTTTTAAATAAAATTGACTTTTGATAATTAATTAATAATTCAGAAAATTTTGGGTAATTTCATTTCGACATATGACAGTTACTATAGAAGTTTTCATCTTTCTTGGCGTGTACGTGTAAAAACACTTGCAATAAGTTGTTTCATCTGTCTTTCCTTGTCTAAGCTCGATTCGTTTACCTCCTCCAGTGGCAGCTATCTGTATTCGTAAATAGGAGGAACTTATCACCGACACCGTATCGGCCAAACGCATCGGTGTTATTGCTACAATACTGGGAAACGTGAGTGGTCTCTTCATTCCCTTCTCATCGCACTTTACCACGACGAACGTGACTCGCACAATTGAATTACGCATATGTGTATCAGAGAGAGACGAATATTAAAAATTCCATAGTAGCTTATTTCAGGCACACGCCAAGAACGATGAAATCGAGTTTACATCCTTTTCTCTGTAGTTTGGTACATAACCATAATTTTTAATTTTGTTGTGTTGTTAGAAGGTTCAATGTCATGTTTTTTGATAGATTTAAATACTTTTTTTGTAATAAGTGTTTATATAATAACCTTTCTTTCTAACCAGCAAGAGGATTTTTTTAAACGGCGTCCTAATTTTAAATAGTTTAGAAATCTTCTTGTTTAGTATTTATCCATCACATCTCTGTAAGTATTTCTTGATTTCATTTTCGTAGTTAGTTCTTCCCCCACCCCCCAAAGGAATCATTATCAACGACCTGGCTCTCCAACCAAAACACGAGTAACCGTTCGCAAACGTTTTAATTTTTTTGCTTACCCTATCTCCAAGTAATTGTTCAGTCTCCCCTTTTGCCCCTTATACGCAAATTATATTGTTACAAACTGATATTGTTAGACCACTTTTTCCTCGAGTGACCCATTTCCTTCTTATTGGTGATGTGTCTCTTGTTATTCTTACTGTCTATTTTCTGTTATTATTTCTATATATTCATTCCATTTTATTTTTCTACTTTTTGTCCATACGTTTATTTCCTCTACTTGACATCTCGCTCTTATTTCTTCATTTCTTACTCTATCTCCTAGCGTTTGAATTGTTATATTTCGTCAGACTTTTATTTTTGCTGCCTCCAATAATCTTTCGCGAGATTGATTTTGTACTTCTTCTTACACTTTCCCGTAGTTTGACAATTTGATGAAAAATTAAAATTATAAAAAAAATAGTAATTAAGTATTACAGCAGCAATCAGATATACGAAAAAATTGTAAGTGTAAGGAGAATATTGCCGCTTTCCACGATATTTTTAAATCAGATGATATCTTATGATTGGAGAATCTCAAGAAAATGATTGAAGATGACAAACAAGTATGAAAATTAAAATGCTGAAAATCAGTCAGAGAGTTAACACAAAAAGGTTATGTCAATAAGATACTCAAATAGGTAAACAAAATGTGTGAAGATGAAGAAAAATTCGAAGAAAAACAAATTCCTAATCACCATCCTAAGTCTGTAATAAAACCCTTTGCCATTTTATACCTCAAATTTAATTTAAATATTAAATAATTGTTTAGTTCTGTTAAAATATACTTACAGTTGGTATTATGGTCCCATCGACTTACAGGTAAGTGTTTTACATTTGTCAATAAATGGTGCATGAGTTGTGTAGGATCTTGAAAAATAATCTCATCATAGCTTTCTGACACCAAACCTTTACTTTGTTCTATACCTATGTCTTGTGTATTACCTGAATGAAACAATTTTAGAATGTGATACATCGTAACCTAAAAACAAACGTTTAATTGATAAATATATAATACTTGTTTTATATATAAATATATCTTTAATATCTTCTTCCAGATTTAATTTTTTCTGCCTCAATTAACAGATTATCTATTAATATGAGATTTATAGCAATATATGGATTATTTATTGCTATATGATATTTGTCTTTTTAGTTTTGCATACAGCCGCTTAGAGGGCTCCACCAATAAAACCTTCCCACACAAATGTAACCTCAATCTTTTGTTAACAGAAATCTACAGTTTCATTACGATACATCATGTAGATAAGATCTTAACCAAGAACATTTTCTTAGAGGATTATCCTAACAACAATGTCTCGCTGAAATGGTTTCTGTCTTTGAGAATGAAGCGTCACACCAGTCGACTATTTTCCGCGGTATTGCGAATTTCAACGTGGTCGCTCCAGTCTCATCACCAGGTGCACCCAAAACAGCAGTCACACAGCAAAACATTGATGCGGTTCATCAGCTAATTAAGGATAAACGCCGTGTAACATACCGGGAGATAGGTGCATCTTTAGGCATTTCAAAGACCTCGATCCAAAAGATCATATATGAAGAACTGGATGTTACAAAGTTTGTTTCCTATTGATCCCTCATTTGATAAAAAGCAGTTCGTTAATTGGTGTCAAAATACATTGGAACGGTTCAACAATTTACAACTAAGAACTGAAAATAAACGCCAATCCGCTGTGTGGGTGTTTCACAATGAGGAAAAATCAAAAAAAGTGATCCATTCTCAAAGTGTGTCAAAGAAAAAGTGTGTTAAAAAAAAGGTCACAACTTCTGGCAATCGCGAGTGTGTTAACAATTATAGAGGTATAACTATTCAATCAGCAATCCCGAAACTTCTTGATAAATTGGTATTGATAAATCTCACCTGGGCTTGCAGAAACATAATTGTTGATGAACAACATGGTTTTTCTAATGGGAAATCAACTATAACAAACATTCTCAATTACCAACAATACTTGTTGGGTGCATTTGAGAATAAAATTCAGGTTGACAGCGTTTACACTGATTTCTCAAAGGCCGTTAACCAGGTTAATCATAATCTTTTGGTCCACAAACTTCATGCATCTGACTTTAGTGATCCCATTGTTAATTGGATTAAAAGTTTTCTGATGGGACACAGCAAGTTCGTATTAACAATTATATTTCAAAAGAATTTCATTGTTATTCTGGTGTACCACAAAGGTCTCATTGTGGTCCCTTGTTTTTTAACTTGTTCCTTAACGATATTGGTAAGGCTATCAAAAACTCACACTTCCTGCTATTTGCTGATGATCTTAAGATATTTCGTTGTATACGTAATAAATCGGATAGAGATCTCCTGCAAGATGATGTAAACAACATATGTTTGTGGTCAAAACAAAATGGTTTAAGCTTAAATCCAACTAAATGTTCTTGTATTTCATTTGGTCGTATAAATAATCTAATGGCTAATAGATATATTCTTAATGATGTACTCTTGGATTCAGTTACTGAGATTAGAGATTTGGGTGAATTATTGGATTGTGCATTGACATTTAGAAGCCATTTTCTTAAAGTTAAGGAAACAGGATTTCGTAATCTTGGTTTTATTTATCGCAACAGTCATGATCTCTCACCTATTGTATTTAAATTATTGTATTGCTCTCTGGTACGCTCAGGTCTTGAATACTGCTCTGTTGTCTGGTCCCCGTTTCATCAAGTACACATTGATGGATTGGAGAGCGTTCAGAGGAAGTTTCTAAGATCTTTAGCTTTTAAAGCCAATATTAATATAAAAAATACTGAAAATTATTTCATAGATTATTCTTTAATAATGTCGCATTTTAACATTGATACATTGAAGAACCGCAGGTTGAGAGCTGATCTGTTATTTTTGTTTAAAATTCTGAACAATGTTATTAATTGTCCCTCGTTATTGGCCAATGTACACTTAAACACAATGCATAGAACTTGACACACTGCACTCTTTCATATTCCTTTTCATAGGGCTGATTATGCTCGTCATTTTCCCCTGTCAAGAATGCTCAGCTCTTGCAATGACCTCCTATTAGATCCTTTCTGCATAAACATTAATGCTTTTAAAAGGCAACTTAAGAATCTGACTATTAATTTGGATATGTGATACTTACTATGTGATACTGATACTTTTTTAAAATTTTTGTGATATGATATATTGTTTTAATGTTCTTTGTTATTGTTTTGAGGTTTATTGTACATGATCTTTACTTTTTACTATTTTTTGTATTTTATTGTAAATCGTTCTACCGTTGGAATGAATAAATAAAATAAATAAAACTTTTGTGTCAAAATCTGGTCATGTGGCAACAATTGCTTTAGAAGATCGAAGAATGGTTACTTCTGATTTGTATATAACCAGTGCAAGTACTCACACTGCCCAAAAGACAATAAGAGTTTTTGGAGCTTTAAAACATTGAATTGTTAAACCATCCACCATATAGCCCCGACCTAAGTCCCAATGACTTCTTCATGTTCCCAAAAATATAGAATTCAATGTGTGGGCAGCGATTTCAGCGGCCGGAAGAAGTCAGGTGTCTGAACTTAACACTAGAATAATTGTTTTACCAATTGGTTTGAACTTATGCAAAAGTGCATCGATCTTGGTGGGACATATTTTGAAAAGCAATAAAGTACTAAGTCTATATATTTTTTATCTTTGTGGCTATTTGCAAAACTAAAAAGACAACCCTTGTATATTAATAAAAAATGCAATACACTAAATATGAACTAAACATGTTCTGATATAAAACCAAAGTTGATATTCATTATCCCAATATAAAACTACAACTCACTATTTATTAATTTTATTGTAATTATTCTGTACATACAATATGAAGCAATAAAGGTTTGGGATGGAGTATGAGACCAACTAAATATATTTGAAACAAAAAAGATGCCTTTCATGAAACTTTGCATGCAACACAAATACAGATAAAACATCTAATGTCATATTTTTTGTTACCACTCTACTTCGGGTTTTGCTAGAAATATCATCAACTTATTGGATTTAACTAGGATACCCTGTATATTTTTGGAAATTTTAAAAGAATTTGTTAGTCCTGCATATTCTACCAAACTTAATATGTATATAATTCATTCACATTAAGTTTGGTAGAAAAAATTGGTTAAAACAAGAAAAAAATGACTTTACATGTAAAGGGTAAAATTTACTAGATGTAAAATTTGCTAAGACTAATGAGAATAATATTTAAAAAAAAACACTTCAAATGTTCAAAATGCTCGCAAGAGTTTACATCCTCCCAATCTGTAAACATATTAATTTATTTACTAGCCTAATAGGAGTAAAAACGTAAACTTGTGTCTTAACAATGTGGTAAGAAATAAGCGGGAACTATCTAGTACGTAATGTTGACAAACTAATTCAAAGTAATACGTTTTAGAATAACAATGGTTTATTTACATAAAAAAAGATTGTGTTGAAATATTAATAATGACCAGTTATGGTGATCTTGTTAGGGGAGCATCCAAAATAGTTGACAGTTTAGATGGAAAATGTTCGAAATAGGCTTATAAACCCATTTTGCAAAGACAGAAACTTGACTGGTGACCAAGTATTTAGATTTATAAAATAACTAAATTATTGATCAACCGAATGGCCAGTTCCCACAAATTTTTTGGTTTCAATAAGACAGAGCACTTCCCCACTATTATTGACGGGTTAGAAATTTTTTGAATGCAAATTTTCCAAATTGATGCATTGAGTAGGATTCATAGAGTGGCCTTCTCATATTCCTGACCTTAATCCTTTAGAATTTTTCTGTGGGGTTATCTAAAATCATGTATTTACATTAAGTGATCATGTTTGCAGGATTTAAAATAAAGAATTATTGATGAAGGTGAACTAATTCATGGAGAAGTCTTAAAAAGAGTGGCTCATGAATTTAATAATAGGTGCATTTTAAAGTATGTGATGAAATTTTAGGTATCAGCCTCCAATGGCGTCACTGAAATGTACATCAAAATAAGACAATATAGTGTACCATGGACTATGGCTTGTTCTACTAATTGAACCCAGATTACACTCCCAAAATTCAAACAGCAATATGGGAGACTTTGTGTAGTTAATAAAAATTTTCTTTAGCACTGAAATATAATTTAAGTATTTTTATTTACTGTAAAATATTTTGTATAAACCTCAAAATTTTGGTAGAATTTTTAAGTCTGAAAACTACTTGTATAATTGTTAGGATATTGACAACATTCTGAGAATATTATTAGTGAAAACGAACTTACAGGTCTTTCATTGGGATCGTGGAAATATATCTTTATAACAATTTCAAACTCCCCCCATCCAGTTTCACTCAATTCGTAGGGTGGTTTAACAACTATTCTGTTTTGGTTTGCATAGCTCTCATGCAATTTAAATTGAACTTTTTTTATGTAAGTTGACATATCTTCATTATTATAAGGTTTTACATAAACTGTCCATTGGTGAGTATGTCCATCTTCCTCCCGTTTTTTTCCAAAATATCTAGCTATATTACCATACACAAGAGGTTTCACTATACAAATACCCTACAATAAAGATGAAAAATAGTTGTACTTATATCAAAGATATATAAAAATTTTAAACATTACTTACCTTCATTCTACCGCCTGAATCAGGTCCAAAATCAGTAGGTAAGCTCATATTAAATTTATTTTATGCTGAATATTTGTATTATTTTTGTTTATGATTAAAAATATTAGGTTATAATATACCAAGATTCTTCTGCTTTTATTTCACAGTACCAACATGAAGTAAGCAATGATATCATGGTACCTTCCAAAATCGGTTCGCTTTCGCGCATGACGTAGACAAGACCGCTTATTCGCGCAATATTTGAATGTAGTTGTATAGGTGGTAAAGACTTTTAATTTTAAGGTTTTTTATATAATTTGGCTAATTTAATTATAGTATGTAATTATAAAGACATGATAAAATTATGTTATTATAATGTTTAATCATGAATAAAAATTTTAAGTTTATTGATTTTTGATAGTTATTTTGTTAACATAGATATCCTTTATAAAACAAGTTTTAATTATCTTTTTTATTACACGTAGGTACAGGTTAATCAACTTATAGTCTAAAGTTCAATATTTCAGATGTTAAAAAGATACAAAAAGTGGTAATGAAGGTACACAAAATTTGTACATATATACCTAAGTAGGTACTGAACTAAACACAAAATCAAAATCAATAACGATAAAGTCAACTTTATTTATCGGATGAGCTAGGTGGTCATCGAATATGAGTATAGTGAGGGCACACAATATTGCACAATATTTTAAATGACATCTTTTGTAATATTCACACATAAAATTATCATGGTAAATAATAATGATGAACATTATATGTTTTAATAACATAATTTATTTAGTTTTAACAAAGAAAAATATGTTATTTTGGAAGATGCTAAATTTATTTCTTCCGAAACAGTTCTTATTGCAAATTGCATATAGCAGGCTGAAGCTAGTTTCTTTCTTAACAAATCGATATTATAATGGAGTTTTTTCTAGTTGCATAACTAAACACATCACTCAGTTTATTCAAATGTTTTTTAAAAGCACCTATTTTTAACACATAACAAACATTCAAAATTAGCGATGGTTCATGAAGAATAAAAATGAATTAATTCAGAGCTGAATAAATTACTGTAGAGTGCAGATATAGTTAGACTAAACCCGGTTGGCCACTTAAAAAGAATACCAGATAACCGAGCTGTAAAAATAATCCAGAGATTAAAACAACAAGCAAATAGGACAAGAGATAGCCCCAATAAAAGGTGGATAGAGGATATAGAGGACGATCTTCAAACCATGCACATCAGGTAGTGGTGAAGCCAAGTACATTGTTAAACAGGCCAAGACCTACAAAGGGTTGTAGTGCCATTAGAAGAAGAAGACCAAGAAGTTGGCAAATAAAAAGAGACATTTTTATGGACAAGCATTATTTTACAATTTTTGACATTTTTTGCCTGGATCTGGAATATCAGATGATTCTGCCAAATCAGCTAAAAATTCTCCACTTAAAAGAATTTCTCCTAAATTTTGGACAGGTCCCTTACTGGCTGTGTCATTTTCTGTATTGCCTGCGTCTGATAAGGTTCCTTCATTTTTTCCCAAAATATAGTTTTTTAGCCTGCACCTAAATTCTACAGGGTCAGGATGATCATACAAGCCACCTCGTCGTCTAATTGAGGAAAAAAATTTTCAAGGACATCTTGATTTAAATTAGAACTTAAAATAAATTGGACATTAAATATCTCCCTCATATCTGCATATAAATTCTTTAGGACAGTATTGGTCTGTATTATTCCTAACACAAAGAATCAATAACGAACATGATACAGAAAAACCATTAATGTCAAAATCATGTTTTTCTCAATAGTACATAAAAAAGAGAAAGTTATTAGTATATAAATTGCAACCAACCCCTTTGGAAAGGCATCAGTAAATGTTTTCCTTTAACACGTAACTGGGCTATAGAATCACTCGTTTCGTTAATAATTTGATATTGAACTTCTGGATTTATTCCAAAACCTTGCACTCTGTCTCAGCATGCTATCAGGGTGAGGCACTCTTATATTAAGGAAGTCAAACCAGTCATTTACCTTAAAAGAAACATAAGTAATTTAAAAAAGAAAATTAAAGTAAATTCCTACTTAGGTCAACGAAGAAAAATAGAAGAGACATATTTACGTAAATGAAAAAGACAAATATCGTAAGTAAAAAAAAACAAATTATCAGTTAAAATTTAATTGGGAAATGAATATTAAAATTCCAACTTTTTAAATTAAAAAACTATTATTTTATTAATAATTAAAAATTTCAACAATATATATGTGTATATATATATATATATATATATATATATATATATATATATATATATATATATATATATATATATATATATATATATATATATATATATATATATATATATATACTGCATCTAATTTATATACCGATGCACGCCATCGGCGTCATAGCCTGTGACGTCACATGATACCAACACAAAATATTTAGGGTGTAGCTGTGTTCTTTTTTAGAATCACTTTACCGAGTACACTGGCATTACAGCCACTAGAAATATTTTATAATATACGCGTAGAAATAATATTTAAAAATTTCTATTAATGTTAACTTAAAGAAATACACAATAATATGTTTCAGTTAATTTGTATAAATGCATTATAAAGCGTTTTTATCAAGAAGATTTGTTCGGAACACACTGTAACTGTATTTGAACGAAGGTAAAATTTTGGTATAAATTGGTAACACCTATTTGACAGTTCCGGTGTTGACACTTTTTGTACTTCATTATTTTGAATTTTAAAGTGAATATCTCTTGTTTTATATTTTTAATACCCCCTCTGTGGCTCAGTGGTAAGAGCGCCTGCCTTTAAATCTAAAGGTCGTGAGCTCGAATCCCACCTGGGTGGAAATTTTCGTTTATTAAAAAAAATTAATAAATGAAAATAATTTCTATCCTTGTGTGATCGGTACACACCGGAGGGGCCGCAGACGTTCGGATACAATTAGCGTCTCTTAGCAAAGACAATGACGTCGACTTTGCTAAGTATCAAGACAATTACTCTACACACACACTCACACACTACACCTCAAATTGTAAGATTTGCCAATGGATTTAGTGTCCGCAGTCATTTAAACACAAACAAACAACAACAACATATTTTTAACTATTTAATAAAATCTGTTCTTTTTAGAATAAAATTAGTGTTTTATTTCAAAAATGTCACGTAAGAATATAAATATTTACGTTGTAAAGAGATGGTAATACTTGGTATTACCATCTCTCTACCAGCTATAATGGTATCATACCTTGTATTCATTGTACAATGGTATCATACCTTGTATTCATTGTACACGTCATTGATTGTACCATGGGTTGGAATGGACCACAGGAGTGATGACGTAGATTTTATTGACATCTGTCAGTTTCACTTTCCAAACAAACCTTGTTTAGTGTGGATAATTTGTATTTTTCGTTATTTTTTCTTTTTTTTATAGAATCTTTCTGCTTTTTGCAATATTTAAGTATTCTAATAGTTACTACAACAATTTTACAAGGTTGTATAAGTAATAAAGCACATTGTTTTATGCAAATAGCAATAAAATGCATGTATCAATAAAGTAAGGTTAGAATTTCTTTAATTTAAACTTTTAAACTATATTTCATATAAATAGAACTCTGAATTATTATGGTGTTATCATAAAAAACACTACACTTACTTAGAAAAAGCAGCAGAGGACGCAAAATGTTAACTTTATGGAAATTAAAAAGTCTTGAGATTGGACATTTCAACTTTTGTTTGGAAAGTAATAATAACAATGTGACAGTCGTGACGTCACACTCTTGCTGTCCATAGAACCACAGACAACTATGTGTAATTGACAAATGACAAATGACATACACAAACATCGACGTTTGAATCGTACGGCTAATTTACACATAACCTGAATTTTAGAGTAGTTTTCTTCTAGATTTCTACATTTTATTTGCATAAAAATGGTTATTTTAGGAGAACAATTTCCTAATTTTTCGGCAAAGACTACAGTGGGAGATATATCATTCCATGACTGGCTAGGAGAATCGTAAGTGTAATATTCTTACAAAACTTTATATGTTTAAAGTAGGTTGTTTCAATTTGAGATATATTGATGTAAACCTGCTTAATATAAAACATTTATGGGGCAATGATTGCCCCATTTATGAATGTGTTAACCAGCTATATTGTGCAATTTATCTTATATCGAATTGGTCTTTATATGAATCAACATTTTTAGTTGGGGTATACTGTTTTCTCATCCAGCAGATTTCACACCAGTATGTACTACAGAACTAGCCAGATTAGTAAAGTTAATTCCAGAATTTACAAAAAGAAACACTAAAATAATTGCCTTATCTTGTGACTCAGTAGAGAGCCATTTGAAATGGAGTGCTGATATTCTTGCCTATAGTGGTTGTTTAGAGGGCACATTTCCTTATCCAATTATTGAAGATCAAGATAGAGATCTTGCCATTGAATTAGGAATTATTGATTCAGATGAGAAGGACTCTGATGGCATACCACTTTCTGCAAGAGCTGTGTTTATTGTTGATCCAAAAAAGAAGATGAGACTGTCCATTTTATATCCCGCTACCACGGGAAGAAATTTTGAGTAAGTGACTAGTAATAGTACTGGGGCAATGATTAGTGTAGAGCACTCAACATAACCAAATATATTTTCCTCAAGGTGCTGCATCACAGTATTGCCATATTTTTTTTTGTAAAATATGTATATGAATGTTTAAAATATAAAGTTACTTTTACGAAATTATAATTTGTGTTATGAGAAGCTACAAATTTTGAATAAGTATAAAACTTGCCATATTTTTTTTTGTAAAATGTATATGAAGGTTTGAAATATAAGTTACTTTTACGAAATTATAATTTATGTTATGGGAAGCTACAGGTTTTGAATAAGTATAAAACAGCATTCATAAATATTTTCTGTTACTTTAAATGCAGTTAAATATTGTTAATTATTTGACAGCACTTTCCACATCTTGTCTATTAGGACCTTTTTATTATTAGGTGTGACTAGTCAACCATTTCTATTATATACAGTAATTTAATTAATACTATTAACTTTTTATATCATTTTAATTAATTTTATTACTATGCATTTAATTATTATCTTTAATTTAATTAAAATCTATTAATTTTTTTATAATTTCAATGCATTTCTATAATAGGTATGTGAGAGTATGAAAAAACTGAAGATATATTGCAACTTTGACACCATTTAAGCTTATGTTAAATGTCAAATAAAAGTTTGGTTATGATGGGTGTCCTAAAGTATTCATTGCCTCAGTACTGATTTTGTTTGTATGCTTACTTTATTATTATCCTTACTTTCAGTTTTTATTTTCCTCTTTTAATTTCAGTGAAATTCTAAGAGTGTTGGATTCCTTACAACTTTGTGACAAACATAAAATAGCTACACCTGCTGATTGGGTCGTGAGTATTAAATTAATGAGTAGATATAACATATAAACTTTTCTAAAAAATATGTATGTCTTATTTATAACTATGGTTCAATTAATGTATTTATAGTACTACCATTTTTGTAAGAGAAGCATTGCTCAGTGGAGTGCTACATATAAACAAGGGATCAATTCATAAAACAGGTATAACTCTTGTTTATGTAATTTTACACCATGAGTAACAGTACTCCTCAGAAATAAATACTAATATTTGTGTTGGAAAGATGTTGTACTGTAAATACATAATTATCCCAACCCTACTTATAACCTTTTTTTAGTTCACATTATTTTATTACTATTTTTCTAATACTATTTCAACTATCTACAGCCTGGTGAAGAAGTGATGGTACAACCCACTGTTTCTGACACTGAACTTAACAGTTTGTTCCCAGTTGTTACAGTTATGACAGTTCCTTCAGGAAAGAAATATTTAAGAATGATACCAGATCCAAAATAAAATGTATTGTTGTGTTTCCTATTATCTGTTCTCATATTTACATAATTTTGTTTATTTTGTAATATTCTTTAATAATAAAACAAATACTTAATAACACTAAGTAATTTTTACTATTATAATTTAAGCAACAAAAGTTACAAAACAAATAAGAATATCAATGTGATTCCAATATAATCTACAAGTTACATGTAGCTTTTAGTTAGGTGCTGTAAATCACAACCATGTAATTAAAATTCAGTAAGTATCTATTATTCCATGATTAGCTGGTGTTTTATTTCATTCAGTTGATTTATTCTGAGTATGATGCAGTAATCAACAAAAAGTTCTAAATAGTCTAAGCTGCAATAATTACTAGTATTCATAGGATAGTATGTGCTGACCCACCTTTTTAATACAAACATCAAATATAATGTAATCTTGTGTTTGGTGTTGGCTTTGCTGGAGTATTGATTTAGCAATTAGTATGAGACCATTCTGTAAATGTATGTATATATTATGTATATGTTCTCACCCCTGACACAGCACATTCCATTGTGTAAATAATAGTGATGTAAAAAAAAACGTGTTTTTTTTTAATTCTAAAAAAAAAACGAAAAAAAGAACAATAAAAAACGTGTTTTCTTTTGTTTTTAATTGTTTTTTATTAGTTTCTCAACATAATATTAACAATATCAATATTAGGAGTTGTTTGTAAGCCTAAAAATCACCCAATATTTCAATATTATATCCAAAACATCTAGAAACTCAGTGTTTGACATTCCTTTTAAAAAAATATTGAAACATTAAACCCTTACTGCCTGTATCTATTATTTTTTTACGTCGTTGCTTTTGGGGAATCACCGAAATTTAGCAGGAATTCGTTGGCGCTGAGAAAACCGGGGAATTACCGATTAGCTTTTGCAGGTGTTCTGTTATTATTTTGTGATTTGTTTTTTACTTGCCTTGTGCCGGAAATATTTGTGTTTAGTGCTTATTTAAGCGGCGTGTTTAAATAAATTAATTATTGTTAATTATATTTTCCGTGTTTTATGATAATAAATTATTTGTTACCTACTGTAGTGACATTAGTGACAAAAACTGAATGTTTATAATGTCTTCGAATTCGAGTTCTTGTTCTTCGCGGGAATCACGGGGAAGTAAAAGTTGCAAAGTAAGTTCCCTGTTTAAAATGCTAAAAACACAGAAAAAAAACTCCTCAAGTAGAGTGTACTTTTTGTACACTTCAACTATCAACAAATGGGACACGTTTGTTGGAACATATTAAAAAATGCCTAAAATGTCCAGGGAAGTTAAAATAAAGTATGGAGTGACGGAGAGAAAACAACGAAACATTGGACTATTACAAACAATACATGAACAAAGGGAGGAAAAAGTTAAAGGTATGTACCAAAGCTCTAAAAATATTTCCAAATTTCCCTCCTCTTTATTTACTAGAAATTCCTAAAGATAACCTTACTTTACAGACTTATTTTTAAATTTAATAAATTTGGGAATTTTATTTACAGAAAAACCTAAATCACAATCTAAAGAGGTGTCCGCATTCATGGATAAAATGACACCTGAACAAAAAGTAAAAGCCGATGAACTGCTTAGCCTGGCTATCTATTCAAGTCAAGCACCACTGGCTTTAGTAGAAAATATACAGTGGCAGAAGTTGTTTAAATTTCTCAGACCTGCTTATCAGATACCAACCTGACACCTTGTATCAGGCCCACTATTAGACAGTGAGCATCTACGTGTAAAGGCTATGGTTTCGGAAAACATTGGTAAGATTTGTTTTACCATATTTATTAAAATTTATTGTTTCGGCCCTTAATCTGTGAAATTGTGCGTAATAACAATAAATTAAATATTTTTTAGAGAATCCACAAATTACATTAGCTTTAATAATAATCTAATACGGTTCCAACCCGTTTCGATGCCATTGCATCATTACTAAGGAGTGTTGTACAAAATGATGTAATTTGGCATCGACTCCGGTTGGAACCGTATTAGTTCATTAAAACTAATGTAATTTGGGGAATTTTTAAAAAATATTTAATTTGCTGTTATTATATTTATCAAAACATTGACAATATATAGGCGAGCCGCTGTAAAATTACCACTGAACAACCTACTACAGACGAAATTTAACAGGAAAGACCTTGAACAGCAACCAGATGCGGTACAGTGTTGTACCACACCGTCCGTCGTATATATTTCAGTAATTTTAGAACGGCCCGACTTTAATATAAGTAAACCTACAATATGCTAGTAGGTTAAAAATAATTATCTCTTTACTTTTAGCTAGAGCACATTCTGTTGGACTAATGGTGGATGAAAAAATTAAACAACTTTTTGAATATCTGCCTTCACAGCGCCAATATTCCAACAGACTGGAACAACGCTACTATGATTCTATTACACAAAGCAGGAGACAAAGCAAATTTAGAGAATTACAGACCGATTAGTATCCTCAGCCATATATATAAGTTGTTTACGTGAATACTAGTTAAGAGAATGGAAAGAAAATTAGAGACTTATCAACCAAGGGAACAGGCAGGATTCCGAAAAAGTTACGGAACAAATGGCCATCTACAAAGTATAAAAACCCTAATAGAGAAAGCAATGGAATACAATAAACCTCTAGTTCTAATATTTATCGATTTTCACAAAGCCTTTGACACAGTTGAGCTAAGCAAAATATTACAGGCGCTTAAATAATGCAGGCTAGATTATAGATATACCAAATTATTATACAAAATATACCTGCAGGCAACAACCACTGTCAAATTACATACTAACAGTAATCGCATAAAAATAGAACGGGGGGTTAGACAAGAAGACCCAATGTCACCTAAAATTTTTAATACGGTGCTAGAACATGCTTTTAAGAATTTGGATTGGATGACAAAGGGAATAAAAATAGATGGAGAATATCTAAAGAACTTACGTTTCGCCGATGATATACTTATAATAGCTGAAGATCTAGGTATGGCAAGAGAGATGGTACAGGAACTCGTTGTGGCTACAGAAAATGTAGGTTTAAATATAAATATCTCGAAAACAAAAATCATGACCAATTTGGTGCCCAACCAGAACATCAGTATTGGTGGGAAAGAAATAGAACTCGTAGATAGATATAAATACCTGGGACATGAAATTATGATTGGCAGAGATAACCAGACTCATGAACTGAAGAGAAGAGTCGGCCTTGGGTGGGCAGCATTTGGAAAACTGAGAGAAACTTTTAAAAGTGAGCTGCCCACATGCCTAAAGAGAAAGGTATTTGATCAGTGCGTCCTCCCAGTCTTGATGTACGGAGCAGAAACACTTACCTTAACAAAAGCAGCAGCTACTAAACTGAGAGTCACGCAGAGAAGAATGGAGCGGTCCATGTTAGGAATAACTCTCCGAGACAGAATAACAAACGAAGACATCAGGAGAAGAACCGGAGTAACTCACATCATCGAGAAGATAGCCAGACTAAAATGGAGATGGGCAGGACACATAGCCAGAATGACAGATGGGCGATGGACAAAGAGGTTATTAGAATGGAGGCCAAGGGAAGACAAGAGAAGCGTCGGTCGACCACCTACAAGATGGACTGACGATTTAAGAAGACTCAATAAAAACTGGATAAGAGCGGCGCAAGATAGACGGGGTTGGAAACATGAGGAAGAGGCCTATGTTCAGCAGTGGACTCTTGAGGCTGGATGATGATGATGAATGGTGGATGGATGGTCCAATATTAGGAACGAGGCTGTCCTAAACTTTGTTGTAACAACTCCAAAGCCATTCCTTTTTAAAATTATGCCCACAGGCACTGCACCTCATACTGCAGAATATATGGCAAAAACCCTTGGTGCAGTAATACCTGAAATCGGTCCCCGAAAGGTATTTGGTATAGTCACAGACAATGCAGCAAACATGAAAGCTGCTTGGGCCTTGATTGAAAATGATTTTGATAATAACATTTTAAGTAAATAGTAGAGTAAAGGAAAAACAAAACGAATTAAAAATAAGTTGCAGTCTTAAAGTCCCAGTGCCTACCAGATGGGGATCATTAGTTCTTTGTCTAATAATTGCTTGCTAACAAACAAATAATAAAAAGGATGGCTATCAATGAAGAAGTTGAAAAGGCAGTAAGCAAACACCCATCTTAAAAAAATGCTCTAAGCGATGTATTTTGGGACCGGGTACAATGATACATTATGCTTCTGGAACCAATTGCTAACACAATTACCTCTGTAGAAGGTGACACACCAACGATTTCAAAATGTCTGCATTTATTTAAAAAAAATGGTTAACACCTCATTAGAAAATGTCACGAAAAGTCCATTGCTATCCAAAGAGGAAGCAGATACAAGGGCAATTTTTGAAAATCGGAAGAAGTTTGCTATTTATAGTGTTCATTTTGTAGCTAACCTTTTGGATCCAAAATATCGTGGCTGCGAACTTAGCTCAGATGAGATGGTAAATTTTTTTAGGTTATAATGGGTTTTATTTATATTTATATTAATTATTTTATTTAATGTAGACTGATGCGACAGAAGTCATATACAAGGTAGCACAGAAGATGCCAGATGTCGATAAAGCAGCCGTCTTAGCTGACGTTGTCAATTTTATTGCAAAAGAAGGACTATTGAAAAAGGCTTTTCTATGGAATGAGGACACAATTGCAGCTATCAGCCCTATTGCCTGGTGGAGTGGTCTTTGCTCAAATACCGCACTCTCCAAGTTGGCGATTCGTTTTCTAGAGTTGCCAGCGACATCAGCAGCATGTGAAAGATCCTTTTCTTCATATTCGGGAATTCACACCAACAAGAGAAACAGGCTGACCAATACTCGAGAGTCAAAAATCGTGTATGTGGCTCATAATTTAAAATTAATGGCTGAACTACAGAAAAGTGAATCATCCAGTTCAGAATCAATTGCTGGCCCTAGATTCACAGTCAATCCTGCATTAGAATCTGAACCGGAACCAATGATAATATCCAATTCAGATCAGTCGGAGTCTGTCTTTGAAAGTGATGAAGAGGAAGCTTCAGAATCTGAAGAAAATGCAGATAGCGACGGGACGGATCAGTGTTCATTTAAGGGATTCGGTTAATTA